GTCGCACAACAAGCAATTTGCAGTGAGCGGACTGATCATATCGACACTCTTCAACACCTTACCGATATCGATGATTGTTGTGGGTGCATTGAAGGCGAATGAATGTCAAGCACAGCCCTATATACCAATATGGTTGATCACAACTGGTGCCATATTCATTCTGAGGTATCTGGTTGATGTTGGCATAAGATTAGCAAGGGCATTTTTGAAATCGGATGAACCTGGTGAAGAGGACTATATGAATCCAGTTGATTGGCTGTTCAGCGGTATTTTTGCTATCACACTCTGTGTTGGTGAGTTTTGCTTTTCATCAAATGGTCTTATCACGAACGATTTGGTTTATTTTTTTCCAAACATATTTCACTGTCACTGGCGATGGCGTCGATTTGAAATCTATTCGTTTACGTATTTTTCTGGCTGAAATGTGGTTCGCACCCAATTCCAAGATTCCAACTGCAACACAGAGAAATTTCTAAAGTAGTGTTCGACGGGGAACGGGCTGCCCGTTGGGGATCCCGGCGGGGAACGCGGGGAGCGCTCTCCCTCGCGCAATTTGCTCCCCGACTTTTTCGCGGGGATCCCCCCCTCCCCGTCCAATATACTCCGCGCGGGGACCACTCCCGTGCGAAAAACTGCTCCCTGACGAACACTATTTTAAAGTATTTGGTGTTCACTTGATATTATGATTGCCTATGAATAAGTCCCAGCATCTCCTCAAGATCGTTCATTAGGTGTGCACATTTTCAGGTACTTATTGGGTGTTTTCAATAGTGGGTGATGTGCAGCATACGATGCCAGAATACAGTGACTATTGCGATAATGTGGCTTACGGAATGTCATTCATAGTTGTTTGTGTATTTTGTTCAGCGGTTGCACTGTTTATCTTAACGTATTGTTGCTGTTGCTCGTATGTTTCGTGCAAGAGGCGATGTTGTCCTTGTTGATAAAACTTGCTGTGAGTAAATTGCTCTGGCAATGGAGGATCTTAAATTCTCCGACGAGAATTGCAAATTCAACTGTTAAAAACAACAATGAAAGCGCCATAATTTGAACATTATGGCGATGACGCATTAGAACGTCTCCTTCGCGACACTAATTCATTAGTGCGTTTTTATCTCATTGCAAAATTCGACTTTGAGATGCTTCACTGCTGATTGTAACAATTTTAGATGAAATAACAGATATATTGTTCAGGTGGAATTGTTCTCAATGACCGTGTAACTACTTCCGTGAAAAGAGTGAATTTTTCAAGATCCAACTCGTTCTCGAGCACACATTGATTATTGCAAAATCATTGAATCAGAATTTCCGATTGTGCCCATAGTGNATGAGGACTGATTTTTCGTCACCTTACTTTGCACGGCATGGAATGATGACATAATTAACTGATGGCTGATGGGAACGCAGTTATTTCTTGGAGTTTATGAGCTGCTTCTAAAGAGTAATTCATTTATTGCGGCTTCAACCATATTCAACTGAACCTCGAAGCACAAAACAATGACATTCTGAATATCTAACAAATCACATCGATATCCTAAAACACTCGTGCTGAACAATGAATTGATTTAAATCCTGCTAATTGTCTACGGAGTGGATGATATTAACTCAATCGAACGATCCAAAGTAGCGCTCGGGTAAGCATGTCACGATTTTCCCATCGTTATCATGAGATTTTACTACAACTTATGAGAAGAGTAAAATTTTCGATGTCATCAGAAATATGACAGTTCGAGGTTGAAACGAAAAATTATTTAAATGCGGCAACAGTAAGGATT